TCTTTCTTGAATTGGCAATGAAGAATTCTGAGCGAAGGGTTATAAAACAATTAAGGTTGGTCCAAGAGAAATGATGAATTATTTATCGGCATTTTATCTCTATGCTGCTACATTAGGACCTGAGATCCTGCTGCTTGCTGCTTAGTGGGGGTTAAGATGTTATTTATCATGTACTCTTGATTCTTATGTCAACATTGTATCTATCTCTGTCAGACTGCCTCTCTCTATCTAGACAAACACACACACACACACACACACACACACACACACACACACACACACACACACACACACACACACACACACATATATATATATATATATATATATATATATATTGTCAATACTAAAATGTTTTTTAGTAAACGTTTTAGTATTGACAAACCCCAAAAATTTATCTCATGAGGAGCGAAATGGCTATAAACATGGGGTAAAATTGAGTTTCATTTTTTATTATATATATATATATATATATATATATATATATATATATATATATATATATTTGGTTGGATAGATGTGAGTTTGTGACCCTGGGTTTCACGCTTTAGCGATCGTAGGGTCACAAACTCACATCTATCCAACCAAATATGTTAGCTCTATCTCTGATATTGAGAGCTTTCTAATAAGTACCATAATATAATATATAAATAATTATACATATTTATATTTATTTATATTCATATACACTTTTCACATATATATATATATATATATATATATATATATATATATATATATATATATATATTCCATTGAGTTTTAACCACAAACTTTCTTCATTTTTTTTAATAAGTTCTTGGTTTATGTATCACTTTTATGTCCTCATATTATGTTCGTTTTTTTTCATAAATATTATTCCTCTTCGAGAATTTTTTTTTTTTTTTTGATAAATGTGTTTGTCTATAGTTATGACTCCAGCGCTTTTATCGGAAGGGGATATATGAATTTTTTTTTTTTTATTTGTTATTTCTTTCTGGGCTTCCATATATCTGCGGAGAATTATAGTTACACTTTTTTTATAGTGTGGCTGTAATTAGACCCTTTGTTGAAATCCATCCTTTTTAGTCAATTCGCTTGCAAATTTTAGGCCTTCCAATTGTTTCCTATGGTTTGAATTTGGATAAATTTCTAATTAAGTCTTTTCTGTCGATTTTAACTATTTCCTTTTAGAATCTAATGTATTTACTTAATTTTGTAAACTACAAGTTTCTTCATTGCTTATGTAAGCGATCGATTTTCGGATTGCCGTTAAATGATATGCCAAAATATAGAAATCTTGTATTTTGTCCGACATTTCTTTCTCTTTCTGTTTCCATTCTAAATTAAAAAAAGAATAAGGATGCCTCACTATAGGGCAACGAAGTGCGTTCTATTTCTAACTTCTCTCACAAGATTTAGTCTGATATTTTCAAACAACCAAATGAAATATTGAGTGACTTTTATTAAATTATAAAAACTGTCTCTTATTTACTAATAAATTCTTCATTATTTCCAAGGAATATATCACGGTTTGATTTCTTCTTCATATCTTAAGATTGATGTTCAAATGTTCAACAATATCTGTACACATGAAGAGATGAATTAGAACGACTAAGAAGTTCTGAATTTCTCCGGGTAAAATTCTTCGCTGGAATGAAATGGAAAGATTCTGTTGAACCCATTGCTATGTCGTCTGCTACGAAACTTGGTTCAGTTCTCCTTTAACTCTTACATATTTATAAGTTTGCTATTTGTCCATGCTTTGAATATTGCTGCTACAAACGGACCTGAGATTCTGCTGCATGTTTAGATATTCTTTATAAAATCCGAATAAGAATCATTAATATTACATAGCGTCTTGCCTTCAGTCATTTTTCCCATCGCCGTCATTTAGCTTCCTGTGCCTTTTATATAAATAATTTCATGTTTACTGTTTGGATGAGCGCTTCAGTATGGCATCTAGACTTTATAAATCTCAGCATCGTAGTAGATAGGTGGCAAGGTTTCATCAATTCTCAGTTGAATTGGATAGATTTAATCGTGTTTTCTCTGCTAACAGTTTCTTCTCCCGAATTTCTCCCTTGGGGAACTCGCTTCCGGTTCCATCATTTCCAGCCAAACATCGTTCTTCAAAAATTTAAATACATTGTCAAATGTTATTCTTTTGTTTTCTTTATTCCTCTTCTTCTATTGCTCTTGTTCCTTACCAATATTTCTCTTTTTTTCTTATTATTTCACACTCAGTATCCCTTGTGTCCTTTTACTAACTTACACGGGTTTATATGATTAAAAAAGAAGACCGAAGCCAAGAATACACTAAGCAGAACATTCAAGAAACAGGTACTGTTAAACGACATACGAACGAGAACGATATTTATAACCAAACCAGAAAGAGACAATTGAAATTTCTAAAGTGCGATATAAGGAAAGACGGCTTGGAAAATGTTATGCTCACGAGACGTATTCAGAGATGTAGAAGTTAGGAAAAGAGTGAATAACTTACATAATGAGTTTGTGTTATTTGATAGCAGAGTATGGACAAAGAGGAATAGTTTATGAGTTAAAATTTACTAAAATCTCTAAAGGAGAGGACATTGTGGAGAGCTATGATCACTCATATCTTAAAACGAGACCTTATATAAATGATAATGCCTGTTCTCTTTGACAAACTCAGAACAGAACAAATTTGTTAGGAACAATATTAGGTCACACTCTCAGGTTACACTTTCTGGTCAGACGAGAGTCGTTTGTTGACCTCTCAAGTGGAATCGGTAAAGATAGTAAAAAAAAAAAATTGTACAGCTCTAAAAAGTACCTGAATCTGCCTTACAAAGGGTCAGATCAGACCAAATCAGTGGAGTTCGTCAGTCCAGTTGACATGTGATACGCGCTTTGGCCAGCGTGTTCCTTTGGATGCATGACTCACTAGGCAAATTTTGCCGCATTAGGTTGTCCTTTCGTTTGCGGCAGAATGGTTGCAGTACCAAGGTTATAGGATCCAGCCTGATCTGCTATTCAACTCATAGCTAGTAGGGGGTAAGAAGGGGTGGATTCGTGGCTTTTCCAAGGGTATTTACGGGTAAATTCGAGCTTCCTGCGGCCTAATTCCGTTATCTATTACACCACAAACCACATCCTGTATGATTGATACCATATCTAGGCTGCTCAATGCTCACTTGCCAGCCTGGACAAAGTTCAGAATCATTTGTGGTTAATAAACAGAAACATTTGTGGTTAATAAATTATATTACACCTGTTGTGTCGTAAATAGAAATGTTTGACGCACATATAGAAAATAAGTTTATTACGGAGAAAAATACGGTACACGGTTGAGTAAACAGGCTAATGTAATAAACAGTCTTTAACTACGCGCTATTTACCCGAGACTTCCCTACAAGGGGAGATATGACACAAGGCTATCCGAACGCGTACGCTCTGGTAAAAATTCCCTGTAGACCCCGCATAGCCTTATCTTGGTTCCGCTCTGCCCGAACGCAGTGATGTCGGATAGCAGGGCTTTAACGAAATCTAATATTTAACTGCTCGGTGTTTACCAGAGACCTACACAAAACGCGAGATGTTGCACAAGCCGGTTTTTAATGTGGGGTTTTCCGAGCCCATACGTTCGAGCAAAAATTCCTCGTAGACCCCACATAGACGGGATCGGACAACTTGTTTACCACCCCAGACGAGAATCTCTCCGTAGGCATAGCCTTGTCTGGATTTCTCTCTGCCTTCGAGCAGAGTTCCACTAGCAGATCTTTAACGAAATCTAATCGTTAACTAAAAAAGCTCCGTCGGAGACAGCGCTGTTTAAATAGTTTTAGACCAGACTGTCTTGTGGGAGTGTTCAGCTACTCCACAACACCACTGTACAATCCCTTTCCAACATACGAATCGTTTCTAGTCATTCTGTATTCTATTGCTGTTTTCATGGAAAATATTCAGCTGTAAACATTTCCAGCTTGGACCCGCTATGCCATACATACAGGCTCGACATACTCAATTATTTGTATTCCATTGGTAAGGAGAACGTTTCACACAGTCAGGCCGCATATCCTCATAGTCTTCATTTCTTACCTCCTTCTTTCTCGTCTATACAACAACCTTAGTCTGTAACTCGAGAGCCTCTTGGGCCTTGCATAAGGAGATCAATACTATAAAAACATTTCCTACAGCTAGCTCATTTAGTCCACCCGAGGAAAACCTAAACCTGCATATAAAAAGGGTTATAGCCATATTGTGCTAAAACAACAGTTCCCATATGATCACCAAAGTTAAGCGGCCATTAGGGAATATCATAAGTTTGGATGTGCGGGTGGCGTAATTGAATTTTTAATCGGAGAGCCGTGCTCCGATTTCAGTTGGGTTCGTTATTATGTTCACATTGGCTCAAATGCCCTTGGAGAAGGTAGGAAAATAATTCTTCTCCCTCCAGCTATGGGTTAATTAGTAAGATTGTATCATTATATAATTATTATCTCTAAAAGATTTTCCTAAAATCACCCCCAGACATACACACACACACACACCAGTTTTTTTTTTTTTTTTTTTTTTTTTTGGGGGGTCTGGATTTAAATAACCGGTCAAATAAACCGTAAAAAGCGAATCAATCAATCAAAACATTGATATCTAAAACAGTTTTCTTATATAAACAACATGTCTCCGAAATGTATGAACATATTTCGAATCTCTCCAGAACTTTCTTTTATTGCTGTTCTGTATTTTTTCGGGGTGGGATGGGAACTTAATGCTTAGACCAAAAATAGAATTATTGAAATTCCTCAGAACGTACGCACCATCTCCAGAAAGCATTGCTTGTTCCTAGCAGCATGAGAACAAAATGAAGACAAGCCACTAATTTCACGAGTGGAGACGTTGTGTTATTAAAGACGTTTTTATATTAATGTTCATCCAATACCAGGCCCAAGAGTCCTCAAAGGTAGAGGGCTACTATATGGTGAATGAGTGTAAGAGAAAGCAAGAAGTGCAGTTGTGGACATGAAAATGAGACTAACCTCAGTTCTCGGCATAAGAGGGTTCGTTTGTGTCTGGCGTGTAGGGCAGTAATTGGTCCGAAGAAAGAAACACCACCATTACGGTGAGTCGGACTTATGGAAACGCGATCTCGTAGCCGCGAGGATTGGCGAGAGGAGAACTTGGGCGTATGCAAATTGGTTGGTGTTCGCTGGGATAAATGTGACGGCGGGAGACCACTCGAGAGAGTTGTGTGTAGCGAACTACGAGGCGGTGTTGGAACATTTGAGTGCAAAGATCTGTGGAGTTGTTGTAGCTGGATTGTAGCTGTCGTTAAGCTGATGAGTGTTTCCGGAAGTAGGCGGTGCCGGGCCAACCCGTTCCCGTCCTATTGTTTGGACCTAATTTTACGAGACCAACCCGTTCCCTTCCTATTGTTTGGACCGAATTTTGCGACAGCAGTATATGAGGTTATGTAGAAAAGATAACGTTAACGCTAGACTTGAAGAGATTTTGAGGTGATCGGGAAAACATCCTGCCGCGAATCTGTTCTACAAAACAGCAATGCTTGTCTAGACGCTCTCCGTAGAATACCTAATTGTTGTGACCTTGTTAGGGCCAGAAATAACCTAATATATTAACAAAAACAGTAATACAAACATATACAAACGAGAGTGTTACAGCAAGAGTGTTCGGTCTGGCTGTCAGAGCTGACTGCTGGAAACCTCCCTCTTCAAAAGGCAGTATCTGCTCCTATTTATAGCTAGACGAGTCCATGCGTGCGTGTGTAAATTACCATAACACTAATGATTGGTTTGCTTTTTACGGCTTATCAACTTTTTGCTCAAAATAACTGTTAAGAACACCTTTGATCCTATTGCCAGTTATTTTGATCCGTCTCGTGGTTCCTGATATTTTTTTATACTTATGTTCACCCATTACAAGGCTCAAGAGCCACTCAGGTCAGACGATTACTGTGCGGTGTTGTATGAAAATAAGAGAAATTGAGAAGTGCAGTTTATGGGGTTAACCTTAGACTTGAAGATTGTAATCATCGGAATAAAAAAAACAACCTAGCGCGAATCTGTTTCACAAAGAATGTTTTTTTTTTTGCAAGACGCTGGCCAACGTCGTCCAAATCTGTAAATCTTAAGTATTATCAGCTACATGCCTTCAACCTTAACTCTAAGTGCAACCGTAACAATTATGGCTGCGATGAGACTCTGGTCCGATCGTTCCTAGGTATGTACCTACGTCTGTGCGTGTGTAACTTCTTGTCAAAGGCACATGAAGAAACTGGGCCGGCTAATCATCCTTCCCATGAGCCTTTACAATACCAGCCTTCATTGTAATTATTCACATAGGGAAAGAGAGAGAAAAAAAATCACTCGCAGATTTACCTGATTAGTTTAGGCAGACCAAGGGGAAAAAATTGATATCACGTTTCTTTTATGCTGCTTGGCAGGTGGCGGGGGGGCTTTATATTTAATGCAAATGAAACAAAATGGCTAATCCCCAGCGTCTCACCTTGTGACTAATACTATTTGCTCGTATATTAAAAGACTGACTAATTCATTTGTATTCCGTTCACAGGAAGAATTGAAAGGAAATCTTCAGCTGCATTAACTCCTAAATGTGTAAGAACTGGATGTCGGTTGCTTGCAAAAGTTCAATAGCAACAACTGATGCTGACGACACCAGTTCTCCTGGAATTGCACCTCTACCCTCTTTACACTATATTTGAGAACGAATTTACCGTTTTTTCAGAGCGTCAGCATGAAGCTGGCCATTACTAGTTTATACTTTGTACAAAGATTAATACAGAAGTTTGAAAAATATATAAAACAGTTTATTCGCCACGATAAAGGTATATATATAAATATATATATATGTAAAATTAACGTTAAATTTTAGATATGCTTGATGCGGTCCGTCAAAAATGTGAATTCCTTTTCATTTTTCATTTCAACCTTTGGAAGTAAAGTCTGATGATCCAGAGAAAAGGGGTTGTGGTGAAATAACTTATTACATGGAACCTTAAAGTGGTCTGTTTTATTCAAATATATATATATATATATATATATATATATATATATATATATATATATATATATATTTTTCCTTTTTTAACACGCAGCCGATTATGAATAAAGCTGAAACGAGACGAGACGTCGATCTGAGGAAAAGCACCCAAAAGGTCAAATTAAAGTGTAAGAATGTACTTGAACTGCTGTTTAGCAAAATAAAGTGTAAGAAATACATCTGCGCTTTTCATTAGAAGTAGGTTTTTAAACAGAAGATACAGTCCATGATTTCTGAAGGCATTGTCCCGGAAGACCACGAGCGTCTATAAGCTTCCATAATAAGAGAGGAAAATGTAATGGAAATTTTACAACGGTATCCGAGAAGATGTTTGACAATAGGCTCGAGAGATAGGCATTGAAAAGATAGAGTCTATCGCCTTTTGAAATGCGGCCATTGGAAAATTTGGAACGCAACATTGAACAAATGCTGCGCTGAAGATGATTCTGACGGAGAGTTGAATTTGATGAGTGATATCTAGCAAGATGTGACCAGATAAATGCAGCCATTGAATCATAATATGCCTAAATCTAAAAGGAACCGCTTAACGCAACTTCGTGTAATCTGTATCGTTGTCAATGCCTGGATCAGAATATTTACCAGCTTGGACATATGCGATAACTCAAAATAATTATACGTCTGTCTTCTTTATTGTGAATTATAAATCTTTGATAAAGCTTAATTGGCAGTGCATTGATAGATTCTAAGTATGTACACATTATTTGAAACATTCTGCCTTCTTGTGCACTTATGTGTGCGGAATCCGCAACTGGGTAGGGTTTATATTCCTGCTGAAAAACTCGTATTCAATTGTTCTTCGCCCTCAGGGAAAACGCATGAATGTATCTTTTCACCGATGTCAAACTATGGACTAAATAAGAGCTTTCGCTAGTCTTTGATAGAATTCGGCGAAAAAGAATGAAATCGCTAAATTCAGACCAATAGGACGTACTCATACAGTCGAATACTGTGTGGTTACTATCCGGCTATTAGCCTTTCCATTCTGATGACAGATATGTCTCTTCAATACGAAGAGTTTGCGGCTTCGTTTAAAAAGATCAACGGTAAACTCAGCACTTTTGAGTGCTTTGTATTCAAACAGTGCGAATGAGCGAAATTTTGGCTAGAATTTCTTCCTGAAAACCTAAGATCCTATCCAAATATATCACCGTCACTCTCGTCCAAAAACCACTGAACAGTACTTTTCAATAATACACCTATTTTTCTTACTATTGTTCACAAAGCCTAAGGGTCACTCAAGGTAGAGGAAAACTAGACGAAATTGTTGTAAGGGCTGACAAGAACGGAGCAAGAGATGCATGGCATGAGGATATGTAGGATAGACAACGGTTGGCCCTAGACTTAAAATGGTGAAGTTTATAATGATCCGGTAAGTCTGCTCGACATTGAAACAATTCTGCGGAAAAAGCTACGTGGGTTGAGCCGAAAAACTTTCAGCACCACTTTGAAATGTATGAGGTGGAGAAATTCATCTTTATTATTATACATTGTTTACTATTGTTCACTCAATACAAGGCCGAAGAGTCACCCAAGGAAGAGGAATATGAAACGACGCTGTTGTAAGGGCTTACACGGAGGGAACTAAGATGCACAGCATGAGGATCTGTAGGATAGATAATGGTTGAAAGAAGCTACTTGAGCCAAAAACCTTTCAGCATCACATCTAAGATGTAGAAATCCACCTTCATTATTATTATATATTTCATACTACTGTTAATACAGGACCTAAGAGTCACTCAAGGAAGAGTATTTCTGAATTAAATTCTATGGTTGTAATGAGAGAAAGTAAGAAGTGAGGATTATGAGGATATGTAAGGATTACACTGAAGAGGTTGAGTGATCGGGAAGCATCATCTTGGGAGTCTGTTCCACAATGTAACAGTTCTGGACAATGGATCTTTCCTGTTTGCCGATGGAATAGAAAAGCAATGAGTATGAGGCTACTCGGTGTATATGGCTCGCCTGGTCCTCGCTGTGAATCTCTCCACTGGTGGAACCAAGGAAATATCTCGTCTGAACATTTGCCATGGAAATAGCGGTAGAATAGTAGAAGGCTGAAGCTACTATTGTCATTTACATTATTTCAATAGTTAATTTTTATGCACCGTGTCTCTTTCCAATGCATTCTGCATTGGTGTCCGGAATTGTTTGTCGTAAAATACTTGTTCGATTTAATTTAATATTTGAAAACAAGGCAGCCGCGGCAGCATAGGAGACAGGGAGAATATCAGCTTTAAAACTCTAAGATCTAGCTTCAAGATTAGCCGGTGTCACAAGAGACAAAAAGATTATTATAGTGATTTAATAGGCGAAGCTTAGATGTGGCACAAGGACGAAATTATGGAGCACTTAGTGAGGATCGAACTCACTATGGCGAGATATTGATATAGCGAGACAAGCTTGCTAACTATTTGATATAATGGAATATGCTTACACCTGTGTTCCCCCCTCACTGGAATATGATTGGCTGGTGTCCATCATAAATACCGACGGATGTGTAGGCACGACAGAGTCAAGAGACTTAGTCTGAGAGCTAAGTCTATAACGACGCCCATTGGCTTACGCCATTGATCTACACTTCTTACCTGCGACTACGACGCGTACCAGTCGATTACTGCTAGCGTATTCTACTTGGTTATAGTAGCCAAAACCACTTAGCTACCTCGATTAAATATCTCATCCTCGTCGCCAACTGATATGTCCCGGAAAGGGATATATTTGAACGAAGGCTCTGACTCTCCTACACGTCCCTCGGTATTTATGACGGACACCAGCCAATCATATTCCAGTGAGGGGATCACAGGTGTATGCATATTCCATTATATCACTATTACAACACATCGAAGTGCTCCAACGATTTACTAAGCGTAACTGAGATGGGGCATAAGGCTGTAAATATACTGCACCCAATGAGGATTGAACACAAGACTAATTTGTATGGCGAGATATTGATATGACGAGTCAAGCTTGCTAATCATTACTATACGCCGAAGTGCTCCAACGATTTACTAAGCGTAGCTGAGATGTGACATAAGGCCGCTAGTATGGAGTACTCAGTGAGAATCGAACTCACTACTTAGATGTAATTTCTTTAACGAGGCATGTTTGCTGACCATTGCACAACGTCGAAATGCCAAAAATAGTGCTCTAGTAACATAGTAGAAACATGATTTAGTAAGTGTTATGGTCCAAGTTCCTTGTACCACAGTGATGGTCCAAGGTTAGAACCAATGAAAGAATAACACGAACACAGGTATGGAATACAAAGATATATTACAAGAGAAATATAATACAAAGAAGTAGAAGTATTAGTAATGACTATCAGATTTGGTTAGAGTGAACTATGTTGTCTCGACAAGTATCACTATTCCAATGTCCTTACAATATGCTCTCAATTATCTCATCCTCGTCGCCACTTGTTATGGTCCAAATTGTACCACGGTGATGGTCCAAAGTTAGAATCAATGAAAGAATAACACGAACACAGGCATGGAATACAAAGATATCTTACAACAGAAATATAATACAAAGAAGTAGAAGTATTAGTAATGACTATCAGATTTGGTTAGAGTGAACTATGTTGTCTCGACAAGTATCACTATTCCAAGGTCCTTACAATATGCTCTCAATTATCTCTCCTCGTTTTACAATCTCCTCATACCTCTTGAGAGGCGCAGTATTTATAATGTCAGGAATAGTCCATTATTATTATGGCTAATTCCCATAACAGTAAGATAGAATAGCTTAGACGTGGTCGAAAGTATAGTAGCACCGAGTAAGGATCGAACTCCCTACTCAGTCTTATGTGATGTATCTTGTTAGTCATTACACCACGTCGAAGGAAGCATAAAGGATTAGTAAAGGTTAGTACATTTTGTGGCATACTGAAAATGAGTTCAGTCCCTGGGTCGTGTAATATGGATGTTCTCTGAGGCAAGGAAAACAGGACTAGCAGAAAATGAGTAATACTCAACGGGCTATTATTAACCATAACGAGTTATCCCGAGATATGAACAGATTAATGAGAATACATCTATCTCTGCAGATTGAATAAATGGTTCAGTTCGAAATTTCCTGACATTTACCAAAACCAACAGACACTTGAAGAAGTATACGTTTATTTAGTCTATTTTGTTTTGGGGCATATCAACCTCAATGGCTTATATAACGGCGACAAGATTTTTAGGATAGGTATGTAGGAATAGAATATGTATTCTTTTGTTTGATTCATTTCCTTTTACGGCATATCAACCTCAATGGGTTATATAACGGCGACAAGATTTTTAGGATAGGTACGTAAGAATAGAATATGTATTCTTTGGTTTGATTCATTTCCTTTTATGGCATATCAACCTCAATGTGTTATATAATGCCGACAAGATTTTTAGGATAGGTACGTAGAAATAGAATATGTATTCTTTGTAAGAAATCAGTTTGTAAATCAGGTTTCATTGACGTATTTTTGTAAAGAGGGTTTTTGTCGAGAGTCAAGTCTTGCTGGTAAATCTTTTTTTCAGACATGTTTTGCTGTTAAATTTTCTTCAAAAATATATTGCTAATATTTTTACTATAAAATCTATTTTATTTTTTTTACATATTTTCAGTGTTCTGATGACATTGTATGCGTATATTCTTCAATGATCCCACTATAGATTATTGTCCGCCCTGTTTTTATCGTTTTGTAAACATTTTGCCTTTTTAATGTAGGTAAGAATAAATAACGGAACACTTACAGAGTAGGTGAAATGCCGCGTTCGATCAAAAAACATTCGATTAAATATGAAAAACACTTGGCACCAGAGAAAGCACTGAATATCTGCAAAAATAATTTGAGCATCTCGAGGTGGTGTAATGGTTAACAAGCTTGTCTCGCTAGAGCAATTACGACTGAGTAGTGAGTTCAATCCTCACTGTGTGCCCCATACTTTCGGCCTTGTGCCACATCTGAGCTACGCTTGGAAAAACACTATCTGGAAGAATAATAAAACCAGTTGAGTTCGAATACTGCTATGATCCTTCCTACTAGGTACATCCAATTGCTCGCTGAAAAAAAAAACATAGCAGAAGTTTTATCGTCAAAATGTTATTATTCAGAAGAAAAACCAAAGTATTTTTATTGTGTTATTAAATTTTTTTCATCCTTTCTAGCACGTTTGAAAGTTTGATTATTTTTTTTGTTTTTAAGTCAGCGGTCGAAGTGATATTTTCTGTTGAAAAACACATTTGGATATTCTTGCAATAATCAAATAATTGTTGGATCTTAATGAAATTTTCAGAACTTATTCACAAACGAATGAAATTATTTTTGATTTTTTTTTTTGTAAAAAATCTTGGCTAAAAATATTTTTTTGTACATATGTTACCTCCACTACCACTTACTTAATTTCATGAAATTTCAAGAAATTAAATTGCAGTCTCAAAATTTGTTTTATAAGTTAAAAGCAGAAATCCTTGGAGAATTTAAATCATCGTTTTTTTTGTTTTGTTTTTCTAAAACATGACCCCCAGTTACCGAATAACTGCTGTAAATCGTAAAATAAAAATAGAATAAAACTATGACATTTTTTAATTATAAAAGCTTTTTATTGCTTTTATAAATAAGATTTGTTAAAGAACACTATTGTCTTAAGAAAAAAATTTCGATGAATAATGAATTTTCCCAAGAATTGTTTTTAAATTTTAATTATAATAATTTAAATCGTTCAAAATTCTGCATTACTTCTATTCGGTTTGGTGATACAGTGTAACCCGGATGTAAGAGAGTTGTCGGGACCGGAGAAGAAGTCTCTTATATCCGGGTTTCTCTTATATCCGGGTTTGGTCTATTTTATATACATTAACACAGAATCTAATTTGGGACTAGAGAAAATCTCTCTTATATCCGGGTTTCTCTTATATCCGGGTTTCTCTTATATCCGGGTTACACTGTACTATTATTAAGTGAAAACTTTATTTGCGAATCAAACATTGAAAAGCTTTAAGAAAAACTTAATAAAAACTGTTTACTCCCAATATTTTTTAAATACATTTAAAAAAAATCTAAGTGTGGAAGCATTTCCATTTTCGTAAATATTAGGTTGGTGCAAAAATAATGACGTAATAATGTCGTTTTTTTGACGTATTTTTAACGTCAAAAAACGACATTATCCAATCAACCTAATATATGTCCTTCAGGTGTTTTAAGAGTTGTCCTCCCTAAACCAGTTGTCCGTTTGCAATTCTTTCATTTTCATTTCTTTGTGTTTGATCGTGTTTACGTCTCTGTAGGCAAATCATCCCTTCAAAATTTTAAACTTTGAAATTTAAAGAAATTTTTACTTTTTTCAATTCCTTTTTCACAAAATATTTTTGTTTTATGTATTTATTTTAATGTAGATCATACTTCAAACGGGTGTGACGGGAACCAACAGTTCACCCGACTTGTTTGAAGAAAAAAAAATCCCATAACTTAATTTTTAGGATCATAAGTGAACCCAAATTGTAAGGTATAATTTTAAGATTACTGCCACATGAGCTATCTCTGCTGATATTTAATTATTGTTATTAATTTTTCTATCTTTATTTTCTGTTGGAATTTCATTAGAGAGTATTTGATTGGGTAGTTTGAAATCACTACGAAATAACTGCTCAATCAAAGAAACCGGAATAACGTCCTCTCCCCTGTAAAATGAAGCCGGTTGCTGGATCAGGAAAAAAATAGGAATTGTCGAGTTTGGGTGATTGCCGACCGCAGTCAGCTAAATTCCTTCAAGACTACATTGTATCCATTGCTAGATTAGCTACTAAGAAAGTTGCTTCACTGTGTCGTGCGAGACAATATTTTTTTCTCCAGCATCTATCTATATGTCTACCATTCGCCCAATCTTAGAATATTTTTGCTTTAGATGGTCCAGTGCCACTGTTTAGAGATTCTAGATAAAATCTAAAGGTGAATCAGCAATATTATTGGTCCTGACCTGGCGTCTCGGCTTCAGTCACTTTCCAACTGCCATAAAGTTGTTTCCTCTCTTCATTTTATTTGGGAACAAGATTTCATCAATTTACAGTTGAGCTGGCTGAGATGTAACCGTAAGTCCTGTGCTAACAGTTTCTTTTCTCCCACTTCTCCCTTATGGAACTCACTTCCGGTTGTATGCTTCAGACACCTTTAATCTTCAAATATGTAAATGCAATATCAATCGCTATCTACTGTCTTCCTGCTTATTTTTCTATTTTTCCTGCTCATTCATAATGTTTTCTGTTTTCTAATTCTTTCGCACCCAGTAGCTCCCTTGTGTCTTAGTGACTTTATTCCCTTTGTTGGTGTAAACTTGATTAAAAAAGAACATTCTTCTTGGATGATATTATTCTAAAGATATCTTAGCTGTACTTGCTCGATATCTTTGTTCTGATTACCCGTAAATATGATCTCTTTCTTCCAATAACTAATTTCCAGTTAAGCCTATTTATTTTGTATCATTTTTTTTTGTCTTAATCATATTGTAATAAACATGTCTACACTAGCAATTAACTGCCTCTCCAGTTTATTTTTTGTATTCAAAAGTCGCCAAGTAGTACGTCGACTATTTATATGTGACCGAACTTGATCATATTGACGACGTTTCGACCAGAAACTACCCCATATAATCGTACAAACGTCCTAATATTTGTGTTGGGGATAACTCTAACAGAGTTCATTTCATTACAACGAGGTACAGAAAGAATTAACAGAGCAATGCCGTGAAACGTTGCAAATCGTAACCTGACCGTACAAGCCCTGATCACAGAAATTTTCCTCGTTACCATCGTAAAAAATAAAACTTCGTCACTTTTTTATTTAATATATTTTTTTGTTTAGCATACTATCAAAATCTATGGCTTATTTAATGCCAAAATCTAAACATTTTCTACTTAATAGTATTTTATGAGATAATAAAATAATTAAATAAATCTGTATACCTTTCTGAGATGAGGTGTTGTATTATTATTGTCATATTCATTGTCAATATGACAATGAAGATGAAGACAATAGGTTAACACTCAGAAGCAACAGGGTTTCATGCTAGCATGAAACAGCCTGTCGCCTCTTAGTGTTGACTTCAATGTTCACTTTTATATTTATATTTACATATGCTCCATCTCTTATATCGAGCACTTTATCCCTTACGTATAGCACACTTTAAAACTATATTTCTGCACACACACACACATATATATATATATATATATATATATATATATGTGTGTGTGTGTGTGTGTGTGTGTGTGTGTGTGTGTGTGCAAAAAACATCATTCATTATTCCTCTACTTTGAGTGACTCTTCGGTTTTATACTGGGTGAATATTTGTTGTTTTTTTTTTAAATGAAATTATGCCTAGAATTAATGATTTTGGATATACTCGATGGGTGGTTTCATGAAACTACCGCCTTGATCGGGTCACCGCCGTCCAAACTGGTTCCTCCAACAGACTTTTCTAGTGAGGACGGCGGTTGGACACCCATCAGGATTCCAAACGCGACCCGCAAGAGGACAGATGCACATTTTTTGTAGGGTTAATATCCACCTAACACAGTGGGGTAGACTGGGATCCATAGCTGTTGATTCAGCCAGTGCGATGTAGAAGACTTGGAGGAGGACTTGCTAGAATGAAGCGAACAGAATAGACGGTCGACGTTATTGAATAAACGCCCATGTAACTAAAGCGAGCCTCAAAACTGGATCGAAACGGGCTCTGCCACGTATACCTGTCCAAAACACCCTACTCGTGAACGGATATCTTTGGATTTCAAGCCGGATATGTGAAGGGATCTGAACAGGTGCAGCGACTGTACGTACAAATCCGAGCTTAGGACTGATAATGTCGATGATGGAGAAGGATTCCTATGTTGCCATTTTTATAAACGTTATGAACATTAACCGCTTAAGGCATACACATTTTTTTACAGTAATATTTCCTGCATCAGTTTTTAAGGTGCCATTGAATTTTTCACCTCGTATTCAGATTTGCTTCCTTGCAAACATCACTATTGAAAGGAAGGTGACTGACCGCCGTGAACAAAATAGAGGACAATAAAACAAGTCAAATGAAAGGAGATCCTGAAAGATTCCTTTCCGGGCAGTTTGGGAAAAATAGAAAAGATTCTTTAATATTTCACTGAATATTCCTTGAAACATTTATCAGAATAAACGAATGAGACGCTAAAATAAACGTTCAAAATAAACAAAGAAATGAATACAACTTATAACGAAAAACATTTTTCTTTTATTTACCATATCTCCTCAAGACTGTTCAATGATCTCCACAGCTTTCTTATTTTGCTGATATAACTTTTGACTGCTATCTAACCCTCGTTTCCATTGCTTCGCTTACCTTCATCGTATCCTGAGTGTTATATTCCCTAGGCTTCTTTCCTTGCTATTAGGTTGTTCAATGAATTCATTCGTTTTTTATCATTTAATTTAATTCTTGTTATTCATTAATAGTCTTGGGGAACCATTCAACAATGCATTCCTCTTCATTGTTTACGACATCCCGACAATGATCCACTAACTTTTCACTGTCTCGGCGATAGTAATCACTAGGCTTTGACTCGAAATGTTCATCAAGGCATGTTTTAATCTCCACATCGTTGTTGAACGTAACACCCCTCAAATTGTGAAAAAATAACCAAAAAGGTAGTAGTTTGAAGAGGCTAAATCAGGAGAATATGATGACATATGAGAATATGCTAGAGTATCTTCGTGTAGAGCGAGTAAAAGGGCGGTAATAAATGAGCGCTGGTGTTTGTT